GTAGATGAATGATTGTAATGTTTCAAATTCGATATTCTATTGAAAAATAATTGGAACGGGGGATTTGGGTTGTCGTTTTAAGCCCGTGACCTGTTGTCAGAAAGATTAACAAGTCCACTTTAACATGAAATATTCCTTATAGTAATACACTAAATGTAGGCATTGCAATTACCAAACAAACACAGTTAGATCAAGTTGATTTATTTATAAAACCCTAGAAATAGAGTTAAAAGAGGGTTTCACTTTATGGATTTGAGCAAGTTACTTTATGCAAATTTTTCTTCATGGATTAACGACTCAAAATGTTAGTAAAGACTATAAAAGCTAGTTCTAATAAACTATAGATATCGTGGCATGAAAATACGTAGTTTTGGAGTTAAACTGGAGTATGAATTAGAGTCGCATATGATCACTTGGTTTTCTTGCTATGCAAGTATTCTAAAAATCTTAAATGAATATTGAAAGCAAGTACATAAGTTTGAGATGTATTAACGGTAGATAATCAATCGTTATGAGTTAAAAAATCAAAATGACTAGTGGGGCTTTAACTCAAATATTTACAAACCATCTTTAATGCATTCGTAAACACTATGCATAGGGAAGGAATTATCACGAGGACATGGTCATGCATTTTCAATGAATTCATGAGACATATTTGAATGATAAATCCATTGGCATGATGTGTATTAGGTTCGGAGGTGACTCCAACTGTTTTGACTCCACCTAGAGGTTGAGAGTGACATTATCTAGTTGTTGAGTTATTTGATGTGAGGGTGATATTTCATACAGTTTGATAATGACAAGAGTATACCTTTGTTTTTAGTAATGTATGAGTGTGTTGATTACTGACTTGAGATAGCTATATGAATTTGCTATGTGGTCTTAAGTGGTGAATATAGTCTTACTGGCTCATACCAGTTTTATTATTAATGAATTAATGTGTGAACCATTAACTGGTGATGGCAGTTTGTATATTAAACAGCCTTATTGGTAGGTGAATAGCCTTTAGTGGCGGTTGTATAACCTTAGTGGCAGATATATGCATTGGAGACAGATATAACCTTAAAGGCTAAGTTATAGCCCGGCGATTATGCGTACATAAATGTCAAATATGATGGTTTGTGGTTGATTATTCATATAATATTAAAGAAGTGCTGTTAGTAGTACTAATTGTACGTACAATGAATTCCTATTGTGGAATTATATATAATGTGTTGAGATAGTAATGATATGTGAAGTATATTTTCGTTATTATCCACTATTAAGTCTAGACAGTTGGGGATGTGGCGAGTGAGTTTTGTTGTACAATTTTATATATGTCAAAGTCAAGTTGATATGTAAAGTTTTGTTAGCCATGGTTACGCACGTTGGTAATTAATATAAATAGCAGTGTAATTGCACTTAGTCGGTGGGGTACTTGGGTTATAAGTTATAAAATGTCATGCACAGATGTTTCTAGGTTTATTTTAAGGTGTGAGGTCCATTCTACTAGAATTAGATAATATACGTTATTTCCAAGATAGGGTGTGACACTACATTTCTCTGTACATGAAAATTTTCTTTTAGAAAGGCAGGCTTACATTTATTTTAAAGCTGGATTCCACTTAATTCCCACTGCATTAGACCTTTCAATCTCCCCCCCGGGGGGGCCCGGAGCTTTTGTTGCTTCCATCACATGCACACCCATCTCCCTTGTTGACATCTGTATAGGGAAAAGGCTAAGGAAGTCTCCAGGCACATGACACAATTTACCGCGTAAGAGGCAAGAGAGAGATTGGAAGGGGATCTGTAATTGTAACCAAATGAGTGATTGAAAACGGTAAGGAAATATGGAGAAATAGGACCAAATTGATTAAATTAAAAAATGAAAAAAGAAGAAGAAAACTTGACAAAAATTCAAGAACGAAAATCTAAAATGATGAGAGACAGAATACCTTGACGGATGTTAGCGTGAACTATTTCCATCCATGATTTTATAATTGACGTGGACCACTTGATCATGAGGGTACTAATTGGCCAAATTTAGCATTTTGATTGAGTGGTTATACCATGTCAAAATGGTGAAATGCTATAACCGTGATATTGAATATTTTCTTCTATAATAGTTAGGGGTATCCACCCTATCTTATGGGTAAGAAATATTGTCTTTCATCTTCTTACCCGATATTTTACGGAAGAAATTTTTTTTGACATATCCTATCCGATCAAGTGTGGTATTCCTACCCGAATAATTGGGTAGGAAGTCGGTTAGGAAATCGGATAATCAATTTTGTAGCTATTAATTTTTGGATTATTTTAACAATTCAATTACATAACATGCACCAATTTAACAACATAATAAATCAATAACACAAAAACTTAAAAAAACTACAACAACAATTACAATAAAACATAAGAAAGCATGAACATTAATCATCATAATTGTTACACAAATACAAACAATTATTTTAAGTTTAAACTATATAAAACACATTAAAATCATAATTGCTCCAATTGTTCACTATAAATTATGTAACCTACACAAAAACAAGTCTATATTTTCGCAACTCAAATATCCACAACAATAACAATGTTATAATATAAATTATATCACACAAATACTCTTATAATTACTAAAAAAATATAAAAAAATTAAATATATTTTTCGCAGGTAAAATAAGGTAGGAATACAGAAATTGATGGATATTCCACATTCATACTTGATGTAATCGGAAGACCAAAAACTCTTCCACGTTCCTACCTAATTTTTTTAGCTAGCCGTTTAATAGGATAAAGTAAGATCGGATAAGATAAAAAATTACGGTCAATTAAAAATTTAAACACCCTAATAATATTAGTGTCAATCCTGGCAAATTCTCGGTACAGAGCCTAGTCACCTGTAAAGTAAACAGTAGGAAGACTAATAATAGCTAGGCATAGGAAGACCTCCTAATTACGTGTGAATGAACAAAGTTTTTTTGTTTGGAGTAAATTTAATTGCAACCCTGACAATGGCATAATTACAAGAACACCCCCTTTGATTTATGAAATATCGATGCCACCCCTAGTCAAATTTTGTCTGTAACAGGATGGACCGAAATTATATTTTTACCCAAATAGCCTTAACAAAAAGTCATTTTCACTTTTTCTACTTGTTCATGATGCTCATTATTGTATTCTTTATCAACTGATTCACTATTTTCAAACTCTATTAAAGGGGTAGATTGTTTAATCATTAAACTCTCATTTTTAAATTGTCATATTTTTTTATTAAGAAATTTATCAAGTGCTCTTTCTTGAGATTGATTTAGTTCGTCTAATTTTCTCTTCTTTTTTTTATTTTTTGTATCCGCATTCATATATTCTACTTGACATAATTTAAACTAAAAATGATTGTGAATAAAATAAATTTTCAAATAATAATTAACTATCCTAAGAGAACAATCAAATATATTATTTTATTTTTTGTAAATAAACAAAATTTTTATTTGATATGAGTGAAAGTTTTACAAAGAAAGGAGAAAGTAACCAAAAAAAAAAACCATAATTAGAGATACATTTAGCAAAGCAGCATGATCTTGTACAAGCAATAAAGCTTAGTGCTAAAATTTCTACACTAAGGTTTCAGTTTCACTACCCACTCCTCAAACAACAATACAAGTTTCTAGCAACTCATTAATCAAACTACCCATTGACACTCCAAATCCAATAATATGCCAAGTTGAAGAACAATCTGAAATCTTCAAAGAAAACAAACTGCATGACATCATGCCATTAATAACCCTCAATGTTGTATAAGGGTGCTTGAAAGATTAAAAAAAAATTATTGAATTTCTTTCACGTCAAATATATTACACTATTGCGGATAAACAAAACTTTGCAATAGTATTTTGTAATGTTTTGCCCCTCCATTTGATAGCAGCTTCATTTACCAAGTCATCCCAAGATGTTGACTGAAATAAACTATCAAACTTTTGTAATACGGTCATCCAAATTCTAGAAGAATAGGAGCAACAAAAAAATAAATGATTATGGCCTTTAGGAGCCTCATCGCAGAGTATTTATGTGGAATCTAATGATGCACAAATTGGTTTGCATACCACTAATCAGGTAAATATAATAAAATACAATAAAATAAGTAGATGGAGACGTCCACTTTCAATGGCTAAGTTCGCTGAGAAGTTTATTAGCTCCGGTGTGTTGGGAGAACAGAGAATTACCAAAAAGAAGAGATGAGCTTGATTTTTTGAGATGCCTCCAAAGTGTTGAGGGAGCTTACAATTTATAAAAGACTACGTAGTAATTGAGTAGTTTGACGGTTATAACGGACTAGAGGCAATTTAATAGCTAATGACCTCTCCTTTTCTTGGCGACCTTTCCTCTCCCTGGCGACCTCTCCTCTTCCTTAATGGACAAGGGTAAAGCTCCTGGATGCTCCCGTAACTCCCTGATGGGTTTGACCGTCTTAGACCTCACAGGGCTTGCTTGGTCTTCTATAAGTTTGGGCTTTTTCCCATGGATTAGGTCATTTGGGCTTGACCCATCATTTGCCCCCCAATGCTCCATGTCCAATGAAACTTGAAGAAGTGGGCATTCAACTGAATTTGAATTTTGACTCAAGAATACTCTTCACCCGCTACGTCCATGTTGCGCTATGACAGGTTGCGGGGATCGACCTGACCGGACAGGTCGCGGGGTTCCACCTGCCCGGTCAAGTGGCGGAGGCTCAAGGGCAGCGCCCCCAGACCTTAAAACGGTTTTCTTAATCAAATACCAAGGCTCCATCTCCATTCTTGATGTAGTTTGCCTTGCTGAACACCTCAAATATTTTCTATTATTGCTTGGATTTTTAAGAGAGCCCTTGGTTTTTAATTTGGGCTTTTCCCTCTTTGTAAAACCCTAGGCTATAAATAGGAGCTTCTCATTCATTCTATTCAATCTTGAGAGGGAGGTTCCTTTGTGAGATTTTTGAAGACTTAAGGTTCAGGATCCTTGAGCTTGTGCACTGAGTTCTTGGTTCAATGTTGACTGGAGAAGAGGAGATGCAATCACCCATTACCCTTGACGAAGAAGCAAGCATCAGCCGAGTAGTCCTTACCGAAACTACTGTGCAAACAAGCACTTCTCTGGCTTTCATAAGTCAAGAAGGTACTGGTGGAGTGAACCAAGGAGGCAAGGTGCCTAAGGGACACCAAGGTGCCGATGATGGGCGAGGGAGTCATTTTGGCGAGCTGGTCCTTGATGATAGACAAACACGATAGGTTGTGTTGGAGAACAAGCTGGGCAATGTTGCTCATGGGCGAGCAACTCATGTGCTGGGCGAACAAGGCAGGACAAAGGAGAAAACGAGGGAGCCCACTGTGTCGGGCGAGCAGGCGCTGGGCGCCTTTGTTGGTCACGCAAGGGGGTGTGCAGCTCACATGGCAGGCAAGCAGGAGAAAGAGTTGGGCACTTTGGGCACTGATTCGAACATAAATCTGAATGCCACTTTAGGTGCTAGACTGGACAACCATCTAGGCGCCACTCTGGCGCTACACTGAGTAGTTTAGGCGAGCACAATGTCCGTGTGATGGGGCAAAGGAGTGGGCAGAGGAAGGTTCTGGCATCTGGTGTTCTGGGTAGCCCATTAGGCAAAGGAAAAGAGAGGGAGGAGGAGCCCTTGGGCGCCACTTCCATGGGCGAGACAATTGGGCGTGCAACTTAGGCGTTGGGCGAGCATGGGGATGCTTTGGGTGAGCCTAAGGTTGCCTTGGGCGCCCCGACTTCTCAAGGCCTCCCTCTGAATGGCACCAGCCATACTTTGCGCTCACGCAAGGGAAAACACCAAAGCAATGTAGCTAATGATGGGTCCAAGGTAAATATTATCTCGAGCACTTTAAATACAAACACTGATATTTTGTGAATTGTCTCCGCCTACCGGATCCCTCCGAATGTGCTGTGCCGTCGAGCCAAGATTGGTGAGCCTGCCTCTAATGACTCCTCTAGTGACATTGCCATCTACGAGGAGATGGAGGAGGCTAGGCTCATGTTTCCCATATCTCTTTCTATTTGCAGTATTCTTCATTATTTTTCACTTACTCTGGGGCGATTGTCGCCCAATGGTTGGAGAGTCTTGTTGGGTTTTCTTGTATTGTGGAGGAAGGTGCATCATAAGGATGTTTCTCCTATGGAGTTCCATGCAACATACAACTTGAGTGTCCAAATAGGGGGTGGTACTATTTCACCACGAGAGGTGGTAAGGTGCTTACAAGATTACCCTTCAATTTCCAAAGCTGAAAATCTCGTTTCTTATTCATTGGTAGAGAATGGGCTGTAGAGGCTGATAAGGCTTTGGTGCCCACACGATGGAGTGTTGCTAGAAAACCTGGTATGCCCTTACACTTACTTGTGTTTTTTTTTTGTACTTGTCCATCATTCCTTGACAGATCCGTCTATACTCTCCAAAGACCAAGAGTGAACATTGCAAGCCGTGAGGGCTCATCCTAACAAGGAATTGGGAGTCCTCTTGCCCAAGAATGCTAAGACCATTACACCCTCCTCAAAGTCTGATGACTCCTCTTCGTAGAGGAAAGGTGAGTTGATTTTTTTTTCTTCCTCCTTCACTTGGTATTTTCATGTAGATAACACTTTATTTTCTTTGGAGCAGTAGATAGAGAGATGATTGGGTCCCACCTTTCTACTAGAAGTCCTCCTCCTTCTAAGGTGGCGAGGATGAAGGATGCCTCCCAGGCGGCCTCTCCAATATGCTGCCCGAGATGAGCTCTCCTCAGTCAACCCCTCCACTGGCACCTCGAGTGCCCTCCCATCAAGTGACCAATCCAGTGGTGCCCCCTCGGTCAGAGGCTCCTACATCTGCACCTCCTACCCCAGAATCTCATCTAGAGTCTCGTTTATTGGCCACACCTTCTGCCCCCCATTCATCCACTCCTTTTGTGGGGATTTCTTAGGGCACCTTCTCAGATTAATTCCATGTTGGGTAACACGCAGGTCATCAGGGATCGACTTGGGAAGTTGTTTTTCACCAATGATGTGAATGGGATTAGTGTCTTGGGCACTGAGGGGATCCTCAACTCTTTCCTAGAAGGCTGGGTTCAGGTAAGGGTTTGTTCTCTCCTCTTTCTCCCTTCCTTTCGTAATTTTTTGACATTCTTTTGCCTTCTGTTTCTCTCCAGGCCTCCACTGCAGCTCTGTGTTTATTTTCAAGGACCCTCCTTTATCACAAGCTGAAACATTATCATGAAGTGGTGCAAAATGAGTTTCTTGCTACTTAGAGGAGGATCACAGAACTTGAAGCTACTAGCAGGGTTTCTGATGTTGACCTTGTGGTAACCTACGAGAGGGTGATTGGTCTTGAGACTGAGCTTTTAGCGACCCATGAGAGGATGGCCAGGCCCAAGAATGAGCTTGCGAAGGCTCGTGAGAGGGTCACGCTCAGTGAGGTTGAGCTTTCGGCGTCCCATGGGAGGGAGACCACGCTTGAGGCTAAGCTTATAGAGGTTCGTAAGAGGGGCACGCTTAGTGAGGTTGAGCTTTCAGCAACCCATGGGAGGGCGGCCAAGCTCGAGGCTGAGCTTACGGAGGTCCGTGAGAGGGCCATGCTCAGAGAGGCTGCCGCAGAGGCAGAGGTGAAGACAGCTCATGAGAGAGCTTTGCAAGCTGAGGAGAGGGTTGTGATAGTTGAGAGGGACTTTGAGAGTGGCCTTGCAAATGCCTTCATTGACGGCTATGAGGAGCTTCGAAAAAAGATATCTACTATTTTTCCTGATATTGATGTCTCAAGCTTCTTGCCAACTGAGACACCTGATGATAGTGATGGAGGTTCTGACAATGCCAAAGGTGATGATGAGGAGGAGGATGACGACCATGAGTAGTCAGCATGCTAGAGACTTTTTTGTTTTTTTTTTTTTTTGAAAAAACATGTAGCCATCTTTTTGTAAAAGTGGTTCTTGCCACTGATGCTACTTTGAAGTTAAGAAGTTGAATATAAAAATGCAAAGAGCTTTTTGAAGTAAATTTAGGATTTTTATTCATTTTTCTACTTATATAAAGCCATATCAGGTAATATCCCCGCAAAAGAGTACAAAAAATAAAATCAAGTCCCCAACTTTTCTAATCTCTCAAGGTGTCACTGATAGTACCTCTTCAGGTGCTCAGCATTCCATGAATAAGGCAAAATCTTTCCCTAAGAACTTTGTATCTTGTAGGTGCCCAGCCTCACCACTTCTGTTATGAGGTAGGGTCCCTCCCAGTTTGGTTCTAATTTTCCTTCTCGTGAATCTTTTGTAGCGAGAATCACTTTCTTGAGGACCCAGTCTCTTGGTTGGAAGGAACAAGGTTTTACTCTCGAGTTGTAGTACTTTGTCATACGGCACTTGAACTCCGCATTGCAGACCAAATCCATCTCTCTGGCCTCCTCTACCAAGTCGAGATTAATGTGGAGTCCTTCCTTATTGGTTTTGGGGTCGTGGTGTTGGACCCTAAGAGAATGCACCCCAATTTTCACAGGGATGACTGCCTCAGTTCCAAAAGTAAGGGAGAATGGAGTTTCTCCAATTGGAGCTCTTGGTGTGGTGCGATAGGCCCATAAAACACCTGGGAGCTTGTCAACCCAAAGACCTTTCACCTTTCAAGTCTTGTCTTTAGGTTGCGTAGAACCGTTCTCACCATAACTTTCGCTTGTCCGTTTGCCTACAGGTGCGCCGGGCTTAAATGAGGCTACTTTATTTGAAGATCAGAGTAGAATGAGTTCAGGAGTTTGTTGTCAAACTGGTTGGCGTTGTTGCTTACAATGGCATGGGGTATCCCGAAGCAGCAAACCAAGTTCTTCCAGATAAAATCTTTGACCTATGCATCTGTTATCTTTGCTAAGGGTTCGGCCTCCGCCTATTTAGTGAAGTAGTTCACCGCTACCACCACGAACTTACACTGTCCTCTACTAAGAGGTAGGGGACCTAGGATGTTGATGCCCCATTTGGAGAAGGGTCACAGACTTGTGATGATTGTGAGTTCCTCTGGTGGCTGCCTGGGAACAGTGGCAAAATGCTGACACTTGTCGTACTTTTTGGCAAATTTCTGGGTATCCCTTATCATGATAGGCCAGAAGTAGCCTTGTCTAAGTGCCTTGTAGGCAAGGGAGCATCCTCCAGAGTGATTTTCACAAACCCTTTTCATGGATCTCCCGCATGGCATAGTTTACTTCTTCTAAGGAGAGGCATTGCAGTAATGGCAAGGAGTAGCCTCTCTTGTACAGGGTGTCTTGTACGATAGTAAACTTAAAGGCTCTCATCCTGAGCTTCCTAGCTTCTAAAGGATCCTCTGGCAACGCACTTTCTTAGAGGTATGTCCGTATCGGGGTCATCCAATTTGACTCAACTGATGCACAGTTGACTTTTATGGCTTTCGTGTCTAATTTGCTTGGTTTGAATTGGTGACCAATGAATGTTGGTCCTCCTAGTGGGGCTTCCAAGGATGAGGCGAGTCTGGCGAGTGTATCAGCGGCTATGTTGTCTTCTCTCGGGATGTGACAAATCTGGAAGTATTGAAACTTTGTGATCAAGTTTTTCACCATGCCGAGGTATTCCTGCATTCTAGTTTCTTTTGCTTCGAACTTGCCCTTTACTTGATTAACAACCAGTTGAGAATTACTATAAGTGACGAGGTGTTGGGCTTCCATTTCAGTTGTCAATCTTAATCCAGAAAGAAGGGGTTTGCATTTTGTCTCATTGTTGGAAGCGGTAAAGTGGAGCTTCACTGCACATTTGAGGAGAGTTCCATCGGGGCTAATTAAGATCAGGCCTGCTCCACCTCCTTCACTAGTCAAGGAGCCATCTACGTAGAGCTTCCAAAGTGGTAAAAAAGAATGCTTGGAGATCACTGTGGGAGCCTGAGCGCAAGGATAAGGAGCCTGGACACCAGGTTGGGCACCCGAGAGTGTCTGGGTGCCTAAGGAGAAAAGTTGGGTGCCTAGGGATGTCTGAGCACCTGAGGAGGAAGGCTAGGCGCCTAGAGAGGAGCTCTGGGTGCCTAAGGACAAGAGCTGGGTGCCTGGGGATGTACAGGCGCCTAAGGAGGAAAGCTGGGCCCCTAGAGAGGAGCTCTGGGTTCCTGGGAAGGCTTAGGCTCCCAGTTTACGTGCTTGAGGATCCCTACCAAGCGTCTGGGTATCCTCGCTGGTTGGGGTGGAAGACTCATTGCTCCCTTCCTGTGCCGGTGTAAGCTCAGCAAAGAAATCTATTAGGGCTTGTGACTTGATGACTGCCCTTGGTTGGTACTGAATATCGAATTCGCCAAGTTTCATTGCCCACTTCAGAAGTCTATCGGATATATCCGACTTTCCCAAGACTCTTTAGAGGTTGGTCGGTGACGACAACAATGCTATGACTCTAAAAGTAATGTCGTAAACGCCTTGCTGTTGAGATGAGGGCGAGAGCTAACTTCTCTAGTCCTGAATATCTGATTTCTGCTCCTAGGTATGCTTTGCTCACATAAAAGATGGGTTTTTACACTCCATCGTGGTTCCTTATGAGCACGGAGCTTACCGCCGATGGGGAAGCAGAAAGGTATAGATATAATTTTTCCCCTAGTGTGGCATGTGAAATGAGAGGAGGTGTAGCCAAGTAGGCTTTAAGCTTTTGAAAGGCCTCCTCTACCTCAGGTCCCCACTCGAATGCCTTTAAGAGAATCTTGAAGAAAGGTAAACATTTA